TAAAAAAATATAAAGAAAATAAAAAGCCAAAAATTTATAATTTGTCTCGACATATAGGTGATATTAAAAATATTAGTGATTGCAATATTCTTGGATCAATTGTGAGCGAAGATGGTAATATATTTTCGCTACACGTAGATTATATGGATGGAGATAAAAACAGTCCGGTATTTGTTATTCATCATATACAGGCAAATTTATAGATTTGAATTTTTAGAATTTTTAATGCCTGAGAAAGTTAAAATTAAAATTTGTTGGATTATTGTCGGGCCACCAACAAATTATAATTTTGGTACTCAATATCCATTAGTATTCAATAGCAAAAAATCAATTCTTGGAGATAAAGATGAATGCATAATAACCGACAACGGAAAATTTGGTACTTGTGCATTAGAGGTTGAATCTTGTTTTTCGAGTAATTCAAGTGAGGAAGATGGTATTGTTAAATACAATCCAAAAGAATCACCATATATCATTGGCAATTATTTTACTTACAATGAGTCGGCATGTTTGTTTATTTATAACAATAAAAAGGAAGAAGTGAAGGAGAAGACAGTTTTAAAACGATTGGCTTTATACAGTTGGCAAGTAAAATATTATTTAGCCTCATTATAAAGCATTATTTTCAGATAGTAAAGCTTCCGAAGTTAAATAATATCTTACTTTTTATTTGACAGTACGCCAGAGAAACGTGTGTGCAATGAAATCGAATGGACGAAAGGAAAAAATAATGAAGTATTATATGGTGGAACAAATTTTAATCTTAATAAGAATTTAATCTTGGTGAATCAAAAATGTACAGATTGTACAAAAAGTGAGCATCATGGATTTGTTAATATCATTTCTGATAAATTTGTTTATGGGTCATTAAATTCGAAATCCTCAGATTTAGAGGGATCAGTTGTTTATTTTAAAGTTTCTCAGGATATTTCTAAAGAATGTTAAAAAGTCTTTTATATTTTTTGATCATTAACATTTTCTTTATATTTTTTGATCATTAACATTTTCTTTATTTACTGGAACATGATCAAGCAGATGATTTTGTTTCCTGATTTTATAATTACGTAAAAATAAAGTTATATTATGTGACAATAATTTGTGTAGTGCTTAAATATCTTAATTTATTAATATTTATTTTTTTCTATCTGTTATATATGTTGTGCCTCAGATGTATTCTTGCATCAGCTGTCGATTTTCAAGTGATGTCTGGGTTTGTAATGACCGATTTTATAGTGTTTATTAGTTCGATCAGACCACTTTCGGTTTTAGGTTTCACAACTTATTTTTTTCAAAGCTTAACAATAAATTGTTATCTGTTAACAACAAAATTTTAATAATTTTATATTTTAATAAAGTATAGTGCATGAATATTTATTGTGAATACTAAGAACTAAATACATTATAATCACACAGTTTGTATCAAGAAAATTGGTGATTATAAAAGAGTGAGATTATATAGAAGTTTTTTTATAAGTTTTTTAATAAATTGTCTCAAAAATTAATGTGATTATATGGGAGTTGTGTTTATAGAGGAGGTGATTATAGAGGAGGAAGACTGTACATGACGTACAACTATCTAATTTGCAAATTTCTCTTTGAAACCAACTTTTTAAACATAATGGTGCTCTTGCAGATTCATTTTCTAATCTATTTCTTGTTGAAATAGTGAGACTCACTATGGAGAATGCTTGTTTCGAAGCTACATTAGTAGCTTGTATGACCAAATAATCTCGTATTCATCTGCGTCTGTCACTAAGGTCTAACTCTATGAATAGAATATTCGAATATTTGAATATAATTATTTCACTAAACAAATATTTGATTATTAAAATTATTTACCAAATAATTTAATGAATATTCAGTGAATATATTCTATCAATTAACCAATTAAAATACAGAATAAAATATCAATATATATATATGTATATTTTTGTATTTTGAATAAAAAAATTATAGGTTAGCAATTAATTTAATTTATAAATTAATTTATTATTAGTTTTGAATAATTTTATTTTATAATTAATAAACTAAGAACTCAAAACCAGCTTAAGTTCATTATTGTCATCTTAAACAAACACGTAAACGTGCATAATTTTTTTGCACAAACTACAAATATAGACTCGCGGCATAACAGACTGAAAATGCCAAAACTACTTTTTTTGATCTTTTTATTATAGATGCATCAAAATCGTAATTTCAGTCATCAAAGCACATAGAAGTATGAGTCCTCCGCTTTGCTTTGAACAATAATTTTATTTTATAACTATTAATATTTAATAATACTTGAATATAAATTTAAAATTTTTAAATGAATATTCAAATATTAAAACTTTTGAACAAATAAATATTCAAATCCTTATTTTTTAACCAAATTAGACTGCTATCTGTTATTATACTAATATATTCAAAATGTTTTCTGATGATATAGCAAATATTCTAAATTTAAGTTAAAAAATAGTGTTATAATTAAAGTAATCTTTGCACTAGCATATTAGATAAAGAACATCCAATTTTTTCAAAAGCACCAAATTTGAGATTATATAATCAATTCTGATTGGTTAATTTATGTATAATTATTTTTTTGAATATTAATGGTGAGATCATTTCTCTATCTTTATTAAAATTTAATTAGACTTTTTTAAAAAAATACTTTTAAATTTCATATCTTAGAATAACAAGAAAAGAACTCCAGACTAATTTATCTGCAGCCTAAACCATTGTGTATTATTAATTCTTATTAGTTATAAATACCAAAATTTTGATCACATATAACTTTTAAGTTGTAATAACCTTTTAATCTTATAATATAAATAAAAATCTATTTTTACAGAATTGTAATTCAGACTAAAAGTGGCAAATCTGTGAGACAGATTTTTAAAGTTATTTGGGCTTAAGTTATAATGATTTTTATATATATATTATATATAAATATTAGATGTTTTTTGCTGTAGTAGGCTAAATCCACATATATTCTCTTATTAGCAAATTTAATACCAAATTAACTAATTTTCTAAATAATTGTTAAAAACATATTTCTAAAGATTTTACTGCAATATGTAATGTTCATATTAAAATTAAAATTTTATTTTATCATAATTTAATTTTATTTGGCAGTAACCTTTCATAATATATAATTTTGTATATAATAAAAATTTATAATTAATAATTTTATTGTAAATTTGGTAACATTCTTAATTAAAATTTTTCAAATGAAATAAAATTTAATACAAAAACTAGTATATTATTTTAAGGCTACAGAGAGGGTGAAGCTTATGGAATGCGTAAAGTTGGATATTATTATGAAAATAAAAGTATTATTAAAAAAGTTGAAAATAAGGCAGTCGAATAATATTATAAAGCTGCGAAGATAGGTTATAAAATGGATCAGCATTAAAAAAGATAAAAACAAGGCACTTGAATCACTTTAACGATAACTAGTTCACTGACAATTATTTCACTAACAAGTTCATTTTACTGACAGTTTATTTAACAGACAAGCTTTTATTAAATATTGCATTAGCCTTAACTCTAATTCTAAACCAGACCTAACAACAATGACCAGAATTACTTTGTCGTTAAAATGAGCTGTCAGTGTCTTGAAGAAGTTTTGATAAAATTCGTCAATAAAGTAAATATATAAATAAAAATAAAATAAAATAAAGACAATTATCATTCATCGCCAGTGTGATGCATCGCTACCCTGATTGACCAATCATTTGGTTTGTTTTGATTTACGTTAGGCCATGCCAAGTTGATTATCTGTTTAACATTACTTGTAAGGGGGGTGGGAATTAAAAAAAAAAAAGCATTGAAGAAGTTCGCTTTGATTGGCTGTTGTAATACCCAAAAAATTGTAGATCATACCCTGGATAGATTATCGGCTATACCTGGATAAAGGTTATTATTACGAACTTTTAATACTCTCTAAAGACACTTTTATAGTACATTAATTTAGTTTCATAATAACTGTTTAATTCAAATTTCACAAAGTATATATCTGTATTATTTATTTTATGATAAGTATATCATTTTACATAAAATGCTTTAATTCATTTTCGAATTACATTATTAACGTACTCAAACAATTCTACACACTACCACTATTACAACTTCTCATATCTATAAATGTTACATTCATAAACTATATCCGTAACCTAAATAAATACTACAAAAAGGTTTAGAATAGTCGTTCAAAATAGTATTTTTGTTTAAACAGTATTTTTTTATTTGTAAAAGGTAAACAAGACTTGTTGAGACAAAATCTCACAATTTTCAATTACTAATTTCTTAGGTTGCTAAACGACCTTCTGACTCTTCAAAATATTCACTTCTCATTTAGTTTCCTGACCTTTTGTATCTTACTGTATCTCTCAATATAAAAAAGTAGGTTTAAAGGCAAAAAATCAGTTGCTTAAGTTTGTTGTTTCGCCACGTATTACAAAAAATTTTTTTATACGGCGTGACGATTTTTACTAATAAAAGTACTTTAAAAACTATAATTAACTGTATAAATAAATGATTGTTACCAATCCTATTTATCCTAATTTTAGCCAATCAAAACAAACTTCTTCAATGCTAGAAAAAACAATAATATTAAATACAACTTGATGTTGCAATCTTATTGGTTAATTTGATATGTATTGACCTTTATACATTTTGAAAAATAGAGAGGAGGTTATTTAATATTATGTGTATTGGTTCCTATAATTTTGAAAAATTGAGGGGGATGGGGTTATGTTAAACAGAAAATAAATTGGTCTGACCTTAATCAAAAAAAAACAAATAGTGACTGGTTAGAGTTAGCATTGAAGATGATTGGCTAAAATTAGGATAAATATAATTGACGATCATTTAATTATACAGTCAATGTAATTTTTAAAATACTTTAATTAGTAAAAATCGTCACGCAATATAAAATTTTTTTTTGTAATACGTGGCGAAACAACAAATTTAAGCAACTGATTTTTCGCCTTTAAACCTACTTTTTTATAATGAGAGATACAGTAAAATACAAAAGTTCAAGAAACTAAATGAGAAGTGAATATTTTGAAGGCTCGGAAGGTGGT